AGTATTGCTTCACTTACATAATGGCATTAATTTTAGCAGCAAATTTAAGGTTTACAAGGCCGCAAAGATGCATTAATAAAAGAAGGAGAAATAGAAAAGAAGGTAGATTGCAGCTGTTTTGCCAAGACACAGTACTTCTAATCATGACTGCTGTTTTCTTCCTTGTTGCACTGCATGTGGGAGTAGCAATTCCTGCTTGAAAGTCTGGTAATGACAGTTCCTAACAGAGAGCAAGTGAGCCTGCACTCATACAACACTCTTACAGGTGCGCATATATCTATATACCATCTGTCCATTTCATAAAATCTCACAGTGGTTTACAATATTGCTGCATTCATTCTCTTCTCTATTGTGATTAAGTCATCAATTTGCTTTATTTCAAAAGAAGTTCTAGATTCCTGCTGCCCAGGTCTGGTACAAGCTCTTCCTCCACCTGAAGTGGTAAGAGAAGAATTGCCACACATTGCCCACAAGGATGCTAACCAAGACAGAGGAGAAGGATGATGGCTTATGCCTCCTCATTGCCAACACCCACCTGCCTACCCCAGCCACTCCTTGGCCAGCTATACAAATAATGCTTCAGCTCTTTCTCTGTGCCATCTCACCATTGGAACTATCAATTTTTGTCTGCTAATGTTTTAATTCATGAAAAGGATGGATTCATCTTAGTCTGGAGTCTTAGCTTTGATCATTCTATTCTTGATGATCCTGCTAGAAGTCCAGATTTGCAACACAGTCAAGACCTCTCCGAAGAGCATGGTTCTCAGCTTCCCTGACACAATCAAACCCCCTCACAATGTTAAGGTCTGTACCTGAGTGGGTGAATTTGATTTAGGCCATAGTATTTGTCAGTTGACAGAGAAGCGGGAAGACAAGGCAACGAATAAGCCCCGCCAAGCAGATTGTTTGAAATTATAGCAATTCTGTTTAATAAAGGCATTTAATGGGTGAAATCCAGTAGTAAGTTGCAACTGGAGCAGAGTCAATGGAATCTATTCTGCAGATCAATGGAATATACAGAGGAGTTGACCCACCAAATCTACACAGATGGTCCTACTCTAGTTTCAACTTATTACTGGATTTTAGCCATCGTGGCTTGTTTGTACTTGTTTTGACTCCCAGAGAAAAGTGGGAGATTTGCTTGATGCTACTCAGGTACCCACTACGTGTCAGGAGTGGCAACTTTTCTTGCCAATAAGATAAGTTTGCTTTACATTCCATCAGTCAATTGCTGAGAAAGGAATGGCCAAGGTTCAGCAATGATGACAGCTTGGAATCACATCATTGAACTTCTGTCCTAATGAACCACAAGTCACTGACCCAGATTGAAATATAAGCACAGCTGCTGGTTCATTAGCCAGACCTTATGCTCCAGAAAAGGCACAAATCAGAACACCTGTAACATGAATAAAATATAGTGAATTAAAGTAAAACTCAGACTCTTAAAAATCAACTCAAATCTTAGTTGTTGGAGAGAGGTACAAAGGAAAGGTGATCTGGCCTTCTAATCTACATTTTATAAAGTCATACTCCATGTGAAGGAACCAGCAGAAAAGGTGTTAATCATCTCCTCAAATTATCTGAAATTAACTGATCTGAAAGAAGAGATAAGTGCAATTGGAAAGCCATCTCTGACCAGTGTGAAGAATCTGATCTTGTAACCTTAAAATTTAGGAATATCTTCTGAGAATTACTTGTGTTCCCATGGTATTAGTACACTAGATACACCTGATGAGATTACCGTATGTGTCACTCTCGAAGAAGTTACCATTTAGTCAGTTTCAGGAGGATTCCATCTGATGAGTTGGAAGGACAGAGCCGATATGAGACCAGCTAGAACAATTGTTCTGTTAAGCAGCACCTAGCAGTAGTTCTGAACTGTTTTATGGTTTTATTGCTTTACCTTGCTATTATGCTGAACTCTGATTGTACCCTGAAACCATACTATTTTGTAAATATAGTGTAGAATCAGATAGCTTTTATTGTTTTCAGTAGAAATGACTCCTAATTGCCTAAATCTTTATGTGGTGTTTTACCACCATCACGGAACTGCTTCACCTTCCCCTCATCCATTAAGCTTGCTTTTTGGATTTATATGTTTTGCTAAAATTCCTACAATAAAAACAAGATTTTACAGGTACATTTTCACTCAGGCAGCCTAAGGGGTGTTAGTACTAAACCCAGGGTCTTATGCACTTGGAAGTTTTTGAACATTTATGTGGGTTTTACATTTCCCACCTTGCAAGGCTGGCTTGCAACCAGGAGCAACAACCTGTTTGTTTTCTTCTCTCTGGAACATCAAGTGAACAAAGAGACTCAAAAGAATTTGGGAGTAGGGCTCATAGGATGCTTCCCCAAACACTAGCCTGCCTGGCAGACATCCACATCAGGTAAAGCAAGGGTAGTGTTGTTCAGTGGTTCCTCTCCAAGGTGAAACAAGGTTCCTCACACTTCATACATAGGATCCGTCTGACTCAAGGGGTCCTTAATATTTGTTACCTGAAATAGCTGCCTCAGGTTAACTTCTGGAAAGCCTTCCTTTGCCTGTGTACAGTTCTTCTAATTTAAAATCCAGCATTTTTACTGCAAGCACTTGTATTGTTGCTATGAAGTTCACTTTAAAACCTAAGTCCATGGGTCAGATTAGACTTTAAGGATTTGTACAAAATAAAACAAAATGGAACAAAACAGGCTTCAAGGCAGGAAACAATATCAAATGTTTTCCATGTCCAAACCCAGAAACTGAATACTGTACTCAGAAGCCTGAGTGTCAAGTGTCATCGTTTTTTAAATTGATGCTAAAGTGCTTACTTTCCTGTACCTTGCCCTCCATGGCAACTAAGTCAAGCTGCTGGGAGAGGCAGATATTAACCTAGTTCACAACAACAACCAAGCAAAGTCCTTAGGTCTTTTAAGGAAAGATGTTAACCCTTTTATGCTAAGGCGCAGAGATGAGGCTGGTCCTTTCATAAGACAGAATGTAACAACTGTTCAAGTAGCAGATACTAGGAGGCAAGAAAAGAGCAGCAAAGTGTCAGAAGATCATTGTGGGAGTATGGCACAGTCCAGATGACATACTAGGGAGTCAGAAGTTGTGAGAGGCATGGGGGAGTGTGGTGGAAACAGGATTTTCCACCTGAGATGCTACAATAGCTTGAAAATCTGAAAGTGGTTTAATCATGTGTAATTAAGTGGCTTAATCATGGTACGTATCACTCCTTTGAACAATCATGCTATCTGGAGGCATGGGTTTGTTTGTTTTTTGGTGGGCAGTTGATCTAAGACAACAGCAAGCCAGCTGTCTTCTTTGTGAACTGTAGGTACTGGGAATGTGGTACAGTCTTCCCTCCACCCGATACTGATTTATCTCAAAAGGTAGGAACAAGTGGCACTATTTTTAGCATTTCACATGGTGACAATAGCATTTAGGACTTAGCTTTTTGAAAGTTTAGAACATTCCACACACATTGTCTTTCATTATACAGTAGTTATAACCTGCTCTATGGTCAGGATTGGACCCTGAAGCACTTTGTGATTAAAGTCCACTTAAAAAAACCAATATACTGTAGTTTAGGATATATTGTTGTGCAGTGGACAGTAACTTGTTGCAAGCTTTTCCCCCCAGAGCAAGAGACAATTCAGTAATCCTTTATTTATACTAAGCTGACAGGTAGAACAACATTATTCATATCCCCATACTGAATATGATTGTTGACATTGGCTTGTAATTAAACAAAGCAAAACAGCACTAAACTTTCCAGCAGAAACCGCATTTAGCTTTACTCCTTTCTCAGAGCTTCAACTTAATATTTCATCTTTTTCTCTAGTGCCAGCACATACTTCCTCCTTCCCTCGGGACTCCATCCACCTACTCAAAATCCTTTAAAATAGTAACAAGATTTAGCAGCTGTGCAGTCAGGGTGGGTGGGAAAGATTTTTTTTTTTAAAGTACACCTTGCTCCCATTATGCGGTGCTGATTATGCAACTTTATCTTGGTATTTCAAGCTTCACTGAAAATTCTGGAGAAAGAAAAGGCAGAAGTCAAGTCATGGGATTTACAGGTCACGGGATTAAAAGCACAAGATGAGTCCTTGCTAAACCAAGCCAAAGGCCCACCGGATCCATTGTTCTGTTTATACAATGACCAGCCAGATGTCCTTGAGAAACTTTTAATTGGGGCAGGATCACCTCAGCCCTTTTCTGCTTCAGTTGCTTATCCAACTGACCCTCAGAAATATACAGCCTTCACTATGGGATGCATTAATATCTTTTTCCAGAACGGGGGAGGAATTATGTTTTGGACTACAACTCCCAGCATGCAGAGTGGGGGATTCTGGGAGCTGTAGTCCGAAACAGCAGTTTTCTCCCAAGTTCTTAAGAAAGGAATGCCTGGTACCTGTGATCTCCTAATGAGTTGCCACTCATAACACTTATTTGATATTCTTTCATCCCATTTCATCCCTCTTCCCCAATTCAGGAGCCCAACGTGGATTACAAAATGGTGGGTGAGGAATACTGACACCGACAAAACTCGTAATAATATGTAACATCGATTTAAAAAATTAAATACTGTACTGAGAGCCCGTGTGGTGTGCAACACACAAGCTCTCGATCCTTCCTCAACCGAGCTCCGCTTCAAGCCAAAGAGGCCCACTCGAAGCGGTCTGCGCTTGCGCAACAGTCAAGCGCAGACCCCCCCTCTCCCCTCCCCTCCCCTCCCCTCCTCCCTGGGCGGCTCGCGCCCCCACTCTTTGGCGCGCGCACCGAGCGTTGGCTCTTACCCTCTCCCCCCCTCCGCCTCCGTCCACCCGGACTAGGGATAACCGCGCGTGCGCGTTGCCGTCGGGTGAAAGAGAGGCAGCGGGGGCAGCAGCTGCAGCAGCAGGAGGCGGGCCTTAGGCGGGCCAGCAGAAAGGCTGAGGGAGACTTGAGAGGATCCTCGTCAGGAGAATCCCAGACCTCGCAGC